ACCCAAGGGTCTTCTCCACCCCAAAATGGCCACCTGCTGGAGCGCCATGCATCTGTTCCATCATGGAGGTGTGGTACATGCAGGTGTAGTAAAATTTCCTCAGTAAGACTCCATCTTTCCCACTGTGCCCAGTAGGCTTTGGTGACAGGGCTGCTGGAGGCTCTGTCAGTCCATGTCGACCAGCCTCTCCTTTCATCCATCCAGAACAGGTTTCTGTGGGGTGGTTCACTCACCCTGTGGAAGCTTGAATGGCACAGAGCACAATCACAACTGACGTGACTGGAGGTGTTCACTACCCCACTGGAGACAGGCTTCACCTGGACGGTTGGCCATTATGTTAACACTGTTTGCCACTGAGGTTGGGCTCTGCCATCGTGCATGGTCATGACCTCCAGCAGGGACTCCTAGACAGTGCATCTGCATTCTGGTGGTTTTGTCCCTGGGTGATGGAGCACCTATGGCAATCAGGGGGTCCTGTCTCCCCCGATGCACCTGCTGGTCTGCTTCCGTCTGTTTGTCTCTGGCCATTGTGCATGGTGTCTGTTTCACAGGTGGTCCTGGGCTGGTCAGGATATAGTGCTGCACATAGTACTTGTATGGATGAGATCAGCGTGCCCTGAAGAGAAAAACTGACTGCCGGACTGTAGCAGGTGGCAGTGCACAAGACCTTCTTCTGGCTGGGGACTGGAGCTCCACCTTCTTCTACAGCTTTGCCAAAGAATCCTGACCACAGCCTCTCTCATCTAGATAAGAAGTCCAGCACCATGGTTGAAGACACTGATGGGATGTTGGTGGGTCGTTGTCACAACAACGTGAGCCACAAGGACATGGTGCTTCTCCATGAAACCCTTGGTTAGGCTCCAGCAGCAGCATGGTGGAGGCTGGCGGTGCCAGGCTGTGAACATGACAGCTCACTCTTTTAATCATCACCTCTATGAATTAATGTGAAAAAATGTGGTTCAAAGTTGTGCAGTCTTGATTCTTCAAAACAGGCCTGCATTAGGTGGATTGTGTTAGGACTGAGTTGTTTTTGTGGAATGGCTTGAACCTAAACCAGCTGTTAGTGTTAAGTGAAGTAAGGCTTTAAGGCCATGCTATAATTGTTGAGTCAGTTCTTCGACAGCTGTAATTTAGAACAGATCAATCCTGTTTCTGATGAGGCGACACCTCAACAGTCCATCAACCCCCAACAGCTGCAAAGTGGTGTTAATATTTGGCCTCACTGGAACTGGCGTCTGGTATTGGGTGGGGCAATGTGACGGATGGCAGGGTTGACTAAGGCTGTAGTCCCTCTGGTGCCGTTCCAGCCGAGGGCAGCTGTTGGGATGGACTATGTGGCTGTGTGGATTGCATTAGGCCTACTGGTGAGTACTGTGTCTCTGAGCCCTGCATTGTTGTTGGCCTAAAAACAAGACCAGGACACCCCAGCCCCTCTCCACGATGCTTTCCCAGTCCGACACATCCCACTTCTCTCTCCCCTCTCATGCTGAGGTCAGAAAAATACATATAAATAGCTTTCTATATATTTGTTCTTTTGTTTCTCCACAATAAGGACAGGAGGTGTTGCGAGTATGAATGTGGTCTGGAAGTACTTTGTAGGTTTTTTTCTCTCGTGAACTCCATGGTTCTGTCTGGGCCTGGCTTGTAAAAGAGTCATCACTGCTGCTTCAGTTCTGTTAGAGAGAGAAGTCCTGGAGGAGTCCGATGATGTGATCACTCACAGATAGTATATAAAGTATATAAAGCAGCACACATTGCTGTCTGCCTGGCCTTTTCTCTTCAGCCACTGACTGCAGAGATAATCTCTCGCCGAACCTCACAGTAGTAGGATTGCCGTTATGACTTTAACGCGGTCATGCTCGGTTTACCCATGCATTTATGTAGCTATTAATTTAATCTTAATTAGATCAAGCCCTATACAATATTCATCTAGTTGCAGTATTTCTATTGTTCCCGTTTGTTGACAGATTTATCATCATAGTGAACAGACGGAGCCCAAAAATAAAAACATAACTTTTATCTACTTTGGAAATACATATCAGATTCCATTTGGTGTTATCTCATATTCACATCAAAGTGAAGCAGGACCAAGATGACTTATGGATGTATTTGGAAGAATACTTCACTTTCATAAATAATCTTTGTTGAGATTCAGTGTTTGGCCTCAATCACATGCAAAAATGTGTGTCTGTTTTGTGGCATCTTTGTCTGCGCCTCTGATACAAAATGTTGATGTGAGGTCCTGACACAACCAGTCCTCCCCCATAATTTCCAAAGGCCTCCATTGTATCTTGTACAATGGCCTTCTTTGGTGTGCTCCTTGGTTGCTAGCCCACACCTCAGGAAAGCCCCTCTGCAAAGAACACAGACAAGCTTAGAGAAAAGCACTTCATAATTGGATTGTTATTGAATATTGGACCCCCAGACTTTATTTTACACGTGAGATTTCATGAAGTTTAGGGAATTGACAGAAGGTTGACCACGCATAGGTTTCCATGCAGCTTTGAAAAGGATGGTGCTGCATGTCTGCTGTCTTTGCTCTGTTCTTACATCCTGTTCAGCCAACTCTTTCTCTTAATTGACTGCTACAGGAAATAGCCCAAAGGGTCACAATTAAAGTCACGTTAATCTCTATATTCTGTTCAGCACTTCTGTACTTCAATGTGAGCAATAATGTGTTTCCAATATGTTATTGAGGCAAGCTCAACATTGTAACATTACAGGATCCTGTTAATCTCTGAAGGAAATAAAGATTATCACACTGAAGTGCTTTACGCATTGTTTTTAACTTTGACAAGGTTTAAGTTGCACATGAAAGTTAATTGTAACATTTTTGTCACCTATTTTTAATGGCTTTTTGCCTTTATTGCCTAGTGATGGTCCAAAAAGAGAAAGAGAGAGAGAGGGAGAGAGAGAGAGGGGACAACATGCATGGATTTGAACCCTTATTCAGCATTTGATTGTTCTTTTACTTTTTTTTCTCTCATGTCACTTCTGGTTGCAAAATGAAAAGATGGTGACAGACATAATGCTGAACTCGATGCTTCAAAACGGCAGGCCAAAGACCAATAGGTCATGTCACAGGGACTACTTCCCCTTCTTATATGGTCCCGACTCAGCACAAAGAAGGGCCAAATCAAGTTCCAAGTCTCAACCTTTGTCTTTTGAGTCCTCAAACAGTCACCAAATGTAATGCCATTGTACATGTTTTAAACAGTGCACCAGTCAGTACATTTACAGAGATAATGAATGTTTTTTTCAATTGGCATTCATTGCTTTCAAATACATTTAAGGAAAATTAAAAGCAAAATGGTCAGGTTTGAATCCCTCAATCTACAAAAGTTGTGGCGCTTTATTTACTTCGCAAATGATCTTTTAGCAGTACAGACACTGACTGCATAAGACAGCATTAACAAGACAAGAGACAGAGGTTTCACTTTTGCCTTTTGGCCATAGACTGTATATAAGAAGTGGAAGTAGTGATCATGATGTCACCCATTGGTTTGTGTGCTGCTGTTTTGAAGCCTTGAGTTTGGCAATTTCGCCGTAGCCATCTCTGATTACAGCCGTCACCATTTTGTTTTTTTCACAACCAATAAACTTAAGTTACCATATTGGGAACGTGGAGGAGTGAGGTAGAGATGCCGGATACAGCTCTGGTACAGCGACCTGTCAATCACAGTAGGCCGCCCTAAAGCATACGGTTATGGTCTGTTTGACTCTAAATGGACCATCATTTACTAAATGAACATCATGCTGTATTGAGGAAGACTTGAAACTAGAGATTGAGACCATAAACTCATGTTTACAATGTTTACTTAGGTAATAAATCAAGAGAGAAGTAGAGTCATTTTCTCATAGACTTCTATACAACCAGAGGAGTCGCCCCCTGGTGGACACTAGAGAGAATGCAGCTTTAAGGCATGAAGCATTGGCTTCACTCGGCAGAACCAGAGGTTGCCGCCTGCTTTCGGCAAGTGATTTACACTTTTAATATCAATAAGCCACAGCTGATATAATCTGCTGTTGGAGACGTTACTCATTTTTACTCAAGACTCTGGCATATTTTTGGCTCGATGTGGCTTTTCTTTATGTTTAATATGAGACTAATACTCAGAGGTCCTGATGAATTGTTGCAGTGCTGGGTGTGTTTGTGTAAATGTGGGTTGATCATGCAACGGAAGCTCCCTTTACGGGGAGAAATGTCCCCAGTATTGCAGAGGCCTGTGAGGGGGTCATTTTTTAAATTTTTTACATTAACCCAATTACTTCTTGACCATGAATGATATGTGGCTCAATAGTGCAGTTTCCGGCTTCACAGTGGCATATAACGTGGGGACAAAGGCTTTACATCCCGGCCACTGTGAGTTTATGATGCTACACGATAAGTATGTGATGGTGAAGAACAAGAGGCCCTGCTGATGTGAACAGGATCATGTTGAGTCCTGATTGAGCAACAGGAGAGCCTTTGTGTTGGCCATGAGGTGCAGGGACTGAAGAAGCATAGGTCATGTGAGTTGTCAGTGTTCATCACCTTGACTAGCAGGGACATCATTGTTCCACTACCACAACATGTCAACATTTCGTGACAGAGTTCATGATTGGACACACCATTAGTGCTGAGCTCATCCAACCTATGGCATTGCCTTGCACTCATTAATGAACCTCATTATGTGGGTGCAAAAAAAGAACACGGTGCACTGAGATCTTCTTAAATGAGGCGCACATGCATGGACCTACCACACCCACTATTCAGCTCTTGATATATTTCAATGTCTCCCTCCAGAATTACATGACTTGGTGCTGAGTTTCAAGATTTAAAAATTCCCAGCCAAGAAATCAGGCAGCCGTGCCCTTATGACCACGACCCAGTGCTGCTCCTTGTACTGTATTTTGGGATTGAGATCAAAAAAGTATGGCGACCTTTACCCCAGAACTAGCTCATGAGAGTTTTGTAATCCAGAAGTCAGAAGATCTGAGTCATCATCCCTTCAACGCGAAGTGGTCAAGGCAAGTCCTGCTATCCCATGGCATTCACAGGCTCACTGCGGATTGGCTTACTGTACGGCTCACAACAGACTTTCATCAAATCATTTTCTTCTCATAGCACAGACACACACACAGTTAGCTTCAAGTGGTGTGTTACATTTTATGACATTATTATTTATGCATAAAGATCTTGCAATTGAACAAATGACTTTATTGCAATCAGCATGCCTTTTTATGAATAGACTTACGAAACACGATAATGTGGTTGTGAATCATTAATGCTGTACAAGACCAGAACAACACTATAAAGTGCTGTAAGAGTTACCTCATGTGTATTAAAGCTTACCATTCCAATTATGTGCCTCATCAGCCCGTTTCACCCCCAACTCGTCAAATATGGCAGTTTGGTCAATGGGCCTACGCGTCAAACAAAGGCGCTCTACGTGGATATAGCCTGCCTAATTATCCACTTATTTTAATCCAAACTATGACGTTTTGTTGCCTTAACCTAAGCAAGTTGTTTCCTGTCTGTATTCTAGTGTATATATGTGACGAGGGGAAATAGAGACATGACGAGCTGAGAGTGAGAACGTGTTGGCCTCACACAGTATTGTAAGTCATTGTCAAAAACAAAAACATTGGTGGTTTATGGTGTCCATTATTGAAGATGGCACAGCTAATGCTACTGTGCACCTTTTGTGTCAACATGTTCAAATACTCAATACTTACAACAAATATAGTGTTTATGCTAATGATATTAACAACATAGAAGTTCAACAAGATGCATGGAAATTAGAAAGAAAAGGTTGTATCATATTGTCAAATTAATTCATGTAAATATATATAAAAAAACTTGTGTACACGGTTTTGTTTTTGGAGTTCATACTATATTTAACAACATCGATGGTAAGGAGACAGGAAGCATCATGAGGCGGAACGATGAAAGCAGATTCGTGATCAAAGTGCTTGGTGATAGGATGGAGTAGATAGGCAACAGCTAATAGTTTAGTTTTACAAACATTTCTCACAAGGAGAACTGCTGTGGAGGCAGAAAACATCTCATTGGTTGAGTTAAATATTGGAGGGTGGAGCCAAATAACACCAGCTATGTAGAAATATTTATAGGTCACTTAAAAGGTAAAAAGGAAAACACAGGGTCAAACATTGATGATGGTTGCTAAATCTAGCCATGGTACATTACCTAAAAGGCCAGCTAGTTAATCAGGTTATCTTAACTTAAAACTCAAAACTTAAAACTAAGTGACAGCGAACGTGGCTGAAGGTAATACTGAAGGTAAATGCACATTTTTTACGCTACACTACAGCTAGAAAACTGAAGTCGCAGCGGATCAGCATCAGGTGTTTCATTAATGCTTCTCTGTCACTGGCTCATTCATCAGTTCCTTATCAGCTGACTTAAAACGTCTATCACATTCATGCAGATTATTACGGCCGTGCCATTATTATGACACTTTTCACTATTAAAGCCGAATCACACCTGTAAGTGGCATATCAAATCATGTATTAGAGTCGTTCGTTAGGAGTAGTTCTGACATGTTACTTCAATACATCACTCAGGTGCCCAAATGTACATTAAAGAGTTATTGGATACAAAATCCACCGTTATGTGTTAGCAGGATCTGCCTATTTTAAACTATCCTTGTACAGCTATCTGTCTGTGTGCTGACATGTCATCAATGAACATACAAAGTAGTCTCTATGCTTTTCTAAGACCTGCCCGATGAGCTTTCACTCAACCTGTGAGATTGCTTTCACTGATGGTTGTCCATTCTATTGATGTATTGTAGAGTCACATCTCGAGGCATGATGAATGTTTGGTACACTGTGAGGTCAGGTGTTTGAATAGCGTGCATTCGTAGTGGAAGGCTTGTGTAGGTTCATCCTTTCCCCTGAGTCCAATATGGCTGCATCTCTTTATTGAGGTGTCACACTGGCAGGCCTACAGTGAGCTGCAGCACAAACTAGCTGAGCTCACTGGTCGACAAAGTTGACCTGATAAGTGAGCTGATGGCCATTGTCCCAGGCATACAAAACCTTCTCCTTGGGGTTGTAGTCAATCTGGGTGGTGAAGGAGTACTCATTGGTGAAGGGCAAGCGTGGGATGGCTTCAGTGTTGGTGTGGGTGTCGTAAGCAAAGTTCACCTCACCTTCCTTTTGGTTGTACACATTGACGGCATACAAGACACCACAGATGATGAAGCAGTTTCCGTAGGAGTTCCGCTTGAGACCTGTCCTCCAAGTTGTTTCCTTTTTCAACGACAGGTCTCCAGGATCCAGTTTACTGATGACGATCACCTCCTGCTGGTTGTAGTCATAGTCCGTGGAAGGGTAGATCACCCACAGGCCGCTTTCGTCCACTGCAAAGTCAATGTCCGAGTGGCCCCTCCATTTCCAGGGGGTGGTGTCCTCGTAAACCACGTCATGCAGCAGTGTCCAGGCCGCCACATATCGCATCCTCAGATCATACTTGATGATGTTCTTGGTGAAGGCTCTGTTGTAGTAGAAAGCTCCATTATAAACCACGTGGCCTGTGCCTATCCAGTTGTAAGGCAGTTTGAAGAGGTTGCTCCATCGTCCTATAAACAGGAATATTACATTAGCTTTACTTATCTATTGTTATTTACCAATCAACACATTCTGTTGCACAAAACAGACCACTGCTTCACAAGTGATGCAACTGCTCATGTGGAAGTGTCTGTGATCAGCAGTGGCCACAACATTGTTGTATTCACCTTATTCTGCCTACTTTTAACAGAGTGCAGCAGGAACGAGTCATAAAACTTAAAACTCGGAAATAAGTTCTTATTTTTGCACTTCTGGTTCCCTCGTTTCTAAGTCAATGTTTTTTTTAAAAATGGGTTTTAGGTTAGATACCTGAAATAAGGTCTGTGGTTAACACGAGATTCAGATGTCTAAATACCTCACTCCAGAGTTTTGAAGCTTTTATGTGTCTTAAAAAAGGCGGCTGCTAACTGGTTGCTTAATGAGACGACTAAACGTCATCATGCTAAAGACTAGTTTATTAGTTTAGCTTATTTATTTTGCACAATTTAAACAATAAAATAAACAAACATAACAGAGATAAATAAATATCACAGTGCAGGAAAAGGCAAAAAGCCAACTGGGCTTATTTGAAGCCTCCATCTATATAATATTAAAATTGTACAATATTACAGAGAACATAAAATGAATATGCATAAGATATGACTACGTAAAATATTATTGACTAGTCCGCCTTCAGCTTAGTTGTGGTGGTTAATGCTAGCTTTTTTATGCCTAATTACAATTGCCAATCACAAAGGTGGTCATCAATTGTGAAGATCTTGCTGAACAATATGTTTCAGTACCATACAGGTTTATTTTCTGCAATAATCCAAAATTCAACAGAAAAATCACATTGGCTTCTTGTTGAGGAACCAGGGCGATGTTAGCTTCTGGCTTACAGCACGCTATAGTTCCCCTTTTCCCGCCTTTGTCATCTCACTGTCATGTCAACTTCTGGTACCTAGCTAGTCGAGTAGTCAGAATATTTCCAAGTCAAACTCAGCTTTATTGTCTTCAGGTTTACCGTCTGCAGACATATCTTCAACTGCTCCTCATCTCTGGGAGGTGGATGTAGGTTGTAAAATGCCCCACAACACTCCAACCTCCTCACTTTCTTTTATTTCTTAACACTGTTGTTGTGATTGCTCCCTCCTCTTTATCCGATTATTACGGCACCCCTAACTGAACATGATATTATTATACTTGACATTGTAGATTTAAGATCGTCTTTGGAAAGCTAGCTCCTCTCAGTCAGAAGTGGATTGATATATCGAACGCGATGGAGTCACTCTTGTTGTCGTGAAAAATGAGGTAAATGGGTCTATTAATAAATCCTGTACTGCTGCATCATGCTCATCCACAGTTGTTTTCATGCATGTAGCTTGCTATTTGTGTAGAAAGATGATGTCTCTTTTTTTAATCCTACCTGCAATGCCAACCTTTATGTCTTATACTATTGTACTGTGTTTATTGGTGTGCACCAATCACAAAGCCAAGTTCCTTGTATGTGTAACGTACTTGCCAATAAACTGTTTCTGATTCTGAAAGCTCTGATTGGTCGGCCGTTTGTCTAACTGTGGGATACAGCCATCAATGCGGACAACACAAGAATAATTTGAATAATTGAACACATCGATATGCGATGTGATTTAGAGGACTGGAACCAAGCCATGACATAACAACTTACTTCAGACATGACACTCTTAAGTCTGGACCTGACACTTAAAGGAAAAAACAATGAAGATTTTGGTTTTGACCAGATCGCTTCATGTGAGAGTGACACAGTTTATTCATAGTACAAACTGTACTATAGGTGTCATTTTCTAATCACATCCTATCTGCTATCCTAACCTTCCAACCTCAGGAAGTCTGATTTAGATAATGATAATAAATGGAAAGCCCAGTGAAGGACAAAAACAACGTGCAGTAGAACCCCCCCACCCCCACCCCCATCCATAAGGCCAACCCACACTCTTAATCCCTCTCCACTGTGCCCAGTTCAAAGGAAAGGCCAGAGCACATGTCAGGGAACAGCAGGCATCGCCTCCACTCCAAATACCTAGTCAACCGCACACAGCTGTGAGCTCACCGGACTGCAGGACGCCTTGCATGTAAGTGCATTTAGAGAGCCCATTGTCCAAACACATCTAGATCAACAAGCCAAGTCCTACGAGGGCAGATCATCTTAACTCTCCCAGAGAGTGTAATCCAATTCCTCAGTTGATTTAGATGTGGAAGAAGTTGATTTTCCCACCCACCGGAGCCATGAAACAACTAAGATCTACATTCCAGAGATCTCCTCAGTCTCACAGAGCTCACTGGACAATCAACATGAATCTATGTCATCATGTTGAAAAGCACAGCTATATATTCTAACAAGGTGATAGTCTTTTTAGATCAATGTGTTGGGACGATAATGATGTTTAAATTAGATGATGAAAAAGATGTAAAAGTCAAGATATGTGTCAGTCTGTAAAGACTGAATAAGAAACACTAATATAGTTGCTAACCCACCAAAAACCACAAAATGTGTTTAAATGATCATATTGGAATATTCAAAATATTCAATATTATATTCAATACAAAGATATTGGTGTTAAACAACTTATATTGCTTCAACTATTATTATGGCATTTCAAACCTTAACTTCTTAGCCCTACATCGTAGGATAGCTAAACCAGAGCTAGATTCATGTCGTGTCACTTTATCTTTATTATAACAGGCTTTCAGTAAGTCTCCAGTTTAGGACAGATGTAGTTATGTTTGATTGGACAGCACATGTTCCATTACTTAGCCATGGCCTAAGGGTGTTGTTCAAAGTGAATTAGATGGGGTTACAAATAGTGTTTGAGTTTGTTCAGTATTATGAGTACAAATGAATCTACACAGTTTTGTGAGCAAGCAAAACAGAGTCAGTTAGAGGGGCCACATTTTCCTTTAGCTGTCCCACCAGGTCTCTGTAAAGGATAGTAGATAGGATGTGAATGTAGACCGCAAATGCCCATGCAACCTGGCTCCTTATGGCTACTTTAATGAGGAAAGGTTAATATGCGCTTCAGACTATAAAGGTTCATGGTTGTGCGCTGAGGGGCTACAGCGTAGCTAGGTGCATACGTGGGTACTCTGCTCCTCCTCTGCTTCTCTAGTCTCAGGATGCAATGCTCTTGTATTTAAAAACATTTGTGTTGTGCTAAAACCCTGGTTTTACAAATGAGAAAGAGTCCGGACTGATGCCTTATGCTGTGTCTCAAGCAGGATCCACTGAATAAAGCGATTCCACCCAACCGAGTTTATACTTGGCCGTGGCAGGCTGTGATTGGGACCTTCAGGCCTACATCATTGAGCATGCTCAGCAACCTCCTCTAGTACCAATCCAGCCGATGAACTCGAGTTGGTACTAATGCTATATGTATACTGCTCGATCTCAATAAATACCTACAGTATATAGCTCACACATATTACTACTGATAGTAATATGGCAAACTGCAGCAATTAACGTCTGGCAGAATTAAAAAATGAATGAGTTACCGAAGGCTCTGTCATATCAAGGCTATACAACCTCACAAAAGTCTGTGTGCGGTGGCCCGAGAACTACATACCATGTGTCCAGTTCCTGGTGTCCAGGAACTGGACACATGGTATGTAACCTCTGATCCTCCTTTGACTGAAAAGGTGAAGGGCCAAAAGCAGACAGGTATGACTTGAATCTGGCTGTGATAACCATAGACTGAAAAGCCGGTTTAGAACGCAGAGTCAAAACCTAAGACTTATCTGTGGTGGAAGTCCTGTTAATCCCTGGGATCAAACACAAATATGGATTATGGTGGGCAAATGGGGCATTGTAAAAAGACCTATTTTAAGCACACCTTGCTTGAAGTTGTCCAGGTTGCGGAACTCCACCAAGTTGTTGCCATAGTAATAGTTAGTGACATAGATCTTGGAGTCTTTAGCCAGGGGATCCTTCATCCAGGCTCCCTCGTTGCGCCCATAGCTGTGCTGCTTCTCTGGCTGGTCAATGGATGCTAGAGTCCCTTCACAGTTTAGGATCTTCCCTGGAAGAAACAAGCAGAACATTCAACATGAACGCATGGGAGAGAATTACTTGCATTACCATGGGCCTAAATTGATTTCACGCTCATATATTTCTTGGCAGAGTGATCCTACAGGCTTTTCTGCTGCTGAATGGCCCTCTGTCACTGCAGTCACAGCCTGCAACACAATACTGAGCTTCGGCTACAGCCACACTACTACGTTTGTGTTTAATACGCATATCTTGTGCTACGTTTACGACTAGCGTCCACACTCTCTCCAGTGCGACAGGGACGTTAGCCACCCTGCAGAGCTACGAGTGTGAGAGCAGACAACAGCAAAACCGAGGAAACGTGTGAGAAATGTGGGTTGATCAAATTTCTTGATCCGTAACCTAGTAAAACTTTGATTGGAAAGTGTTGATTTTTAAAGTAAATGAATGTGTATCTGAGAGGGATAGAGCAAGACCTGCAGCGACCTGCAATTCAGAAAATGTGTCAGTTTGAGTGCGTGTGTGGAGGACGCTTCATTATCAAGCACAACCTTTTGTTATTAAAGAGTACAATAATACTCTGTTGTATTTTCTGTAAATAGGCAACCAATCTACTTCCTGTTAACAGTGTACGTGAAACGTCATGTGATATCCATTTTCAGGCATGTTGGTATGGACAAAAGAATCATTTTCAAAGGATCGTTTTTGTTTTAAAACCCCATTTTAAAAGGAAAACGTATTAGTGTGGATGTAGCCTTAATCACAGAGGGGCATTTAGCACATACCTGCTCTGTGAAGAGTGGGCCGACTGTTGTTGTTGGAGTTGTCCAGCATCAGCAAAATGGTCGGAGCTGGTCTATCAGATTCTGGTGTATTTTGTGTAGTGGGAGTGGATAGTGTAGTAGTGGTGCTAGTTGAGATGGCTGTGGTCGTGGTGGTGGTAGTGGTGGGAACAGCAGTGGTGGTTGTGGGTTCAGCCACGGTGGCCTCCATGGTTTCCAGGACCATTTCAGCTCCTCCATCCTCTGACTGGTTTTCCGTGATGTGATGGACTGTGTACGTTCTGACATGGTCTGGGGGGGGGGGGGGGGGGGGGGGGGACCAAAAAAAATTATCTGTTTTTTTTATTCAAAAAAAAAAAAAATGT